TTAGTACCCATTAAGTACTTGTTCTTTGCTATTCTGGCATCCCCAGGAGGTTACTTCACCTGCTAAGACACTGTCCAGAGCAGCTAGCTGGCTTGTTCATTATTGGCCAGCAAGCTCACCTCAGGGTTATGGACCCTCACACGATATGCCAAGTAAAGGGATGAGGAGGGGAATCCTGCTGCTGGAGGTGGTGTTGAGAGAGCAGGGTAGCAGGAATTAACTACTTTGTGCAGCCCCCTGCAGAAGCTAAGCAATATGGACCCAGCCATGCTGGAACGCCTCTTGAGCTTGGACCGCATGCTGGGCTCCCAGGGCAGCCAGGGGACACCTTTGCTAAACACCCCCAAGCGAGAGCGAATGGTGCTTCTGAAGACAGTGGAAGAGAAGGACTTGGAGATTGAGGTGAGTGTTGGAAGAAACAACTATGATTTCAGTGGTCTTAAGCAATCCTAACATCTTCAGACAGGGTAGGGCATTCAGGTTGGACTAGAGTTTTCAGGTTGGGTTATAAGTTTTTTGGCTTCTGCTCAAGTGTCCTTAGTATGATTCAACTTTGAAAAATAATTGACATCAGATGAAAAGAGGTATAGGGCTGGCGATATAGCTCACTGGCGCAGCGCCTGTCTGGCAAGCACAAGGTGCTGAGTTCATTTCTGGTGCTGAAAAAAAAATTCCAAAACAACCCCATTACATGTGAATTTCTCAAAATTCAGGACCCTTTGTTAGTCTTCCACTTCATAAAGAGGCTTGTTTGACCTCTGGTAGCCCCTGATTATTAGAAGACCCTTAGTTATTTTGGGCTTCACTTGTGTTCTGGCAGCTTCTCCCACTGGTTCTAGTACTGTCCTCTTGGGCCTCAGACTTTGCCTACTCTTCTTCCTAATTTGCTACTTTAGTGTTGGGTTTAGGTCACATCTTTCCTTGTTTCATCAGAGACTTAAGATGAAACAAAAAGAGCTGGAGGCCAAGGTACTGGCCCAGGAGGCAGCGGAGGAAGAGGCGAAGGAGAACGCTGTCTCATTGCTTCGACCCCTTCCCTGCCACACAGTCACAGTGGCAAAGCCCCTGAAAAAGGCTGTGGTGATGCCCCTACAACTGAGTAAGTTTGGCTCCAGCATCCAGGAGGATGCAGAAAACCTAGGTCGGGGAGGCGGGGGGGGGGGGGGGCTGCTTAGTTGGAACAGCTATCCTCTTGCCCTGGTGCTGTCCCACCTTACACCATTCCCAGGAAGGGCTGAGGATTGGCAGCAGTGCTGGGTGCTTTGCACCAGGGTAGTAATGGCAAACCTTTCAGAGGCTGAGTGCCCCCAAACCTACTTAATCAGTGTCAACACTGCAATTAAACTTGAGCACTCAGCTGTTGGGGCAAAGCTGAGGGGACTTGGCTTATGTGCTGACAGCGCTCGCTGCAGCATGCGTGTGTCTGCGACCACAGCTCTGAGGTGTTTAACACAATGGGGCAGATAGACAAGTGTGTGATTCTATTGCAAGACCAGCTGAGACTACTTTCAGATACAGGTAGAAGAAAGATCACATAGAGACGTACGAAACGGCTAGAGAAGCAAAGAATCAGGATGGGAGAAGGAAGTGGTTATGGGAGGGAGAAAGGTTCTTCTCTGCCCTCATCCCTCTTCTCAATGCTTGTTCACAGTTCAGGAGCAGGCATCATCTCCACATGCTGAGATCCATATCCTGAAGAAGAAAGGGCGCAAAAGAAAGGTGAGGGCTGGGGAGATAGCTCAAGGGCATAAGTGCCTGCCTGGCAAGCCTGAGGTCCTGAGTTCAATCCCCAGTACCCCCCCCCAAAAAAAAGGTGAGAGTAGCTGGGGACATAAGCTATGCCTTAGGCCTAGGAAGCTCACGACGTGACTGATGCCTGCCGTTGTCTGCCAGCTTATGTTCCACACGCAGGGAGGGTACCTTGAAAAGTATTTAGGATGGAATGGAATGATGCAGATATTTCTCAGTGGCTGTCCACTCACTAGCTGTTTCCTTTCTTCATGATGGTTCCCATTCTGTCGCGTCCTGCTGACAGGATACAGTGTGTAGCTTGGCTTTGGCCCTCTACAAACTTAGGGGAAATATTATCAAGGACTCCAAGAGTCAACACTCACACAGTGTTTACACACTCAAAATGTAACCGAAGAACTCACCCAAAACTGCGGGTGTATTTGTGTATGTACATATTATTTATTGATTTCTCATTCTTTCCTGGCAAGACACTTCCCCCCTGGGTCCTGGGGGTCAACCCAAAGGCTTCTTGCCGGTACCACTTTACGCACACCCACCCCATGTAAGAGGAGTTTGTCTTTTATGCTCAATTCACTGGACCTTCACACTCCCTAGAACTGTACTAACTGGCATCAACCTAAAGTCGAGACAATAAGGAGCAAGGAGGAGAACCAGAGGGGAGGAATTTGGGGTCATTTGACCAGAGGGAAGCGGCTGGAGAGGTGGGCCAGGAGCTGCAGCAGGCCCGCCCGCTCTGCCGCGGGACCTGGCACTCGCGCCCCTTGCTCGCAGCTGAAGTCCCTGGATGCCTCGGAGCCGGAGGAGAAGCCCCAGGACTGCTGGGAGCTGGAGATCAGCCCTGAGCTGCTGGCCCAGGGGCGCCAGAAGATACTGGATCTGCTTAACGAGGGTTCTGCCCGGGACCTGCGCAGCCTGCAGCGCATCGGCCAGAAGAAGGCCCAGCTCATCGTGGGCTGGAGGCAGCTCCACGGCCCCTTCGGGCAGGTAACGGAAGGTGTGGGGAGGGCCGCCGGGGGCGCTTGGCGGGCCGCGCGGCCCCTTCCCCACCGCGGCTGTCTCCGCAGGTGGAGGACCTGGAGCGCGTGGAAGGCATCTCTGCCAAGCAGATGGAGTCGTTCCTGAAGGTCAGGTCAAGCGGGCCCTTATCCGAACCAGCGCCGCGCTGCCGCGCCCGGGAGCACCCGCCCCTAACGCTGCTTCCCTCCCCCTCTCTTGCAGGCGAACATCCTGGGCCTGGCTGCTGGCCAACGCTCTGGCTCCTCCTGACTGCTGTCGGCACACAGCTATTTTTTTAACCCTTGTATAACCTCCCGCGGTGTAAATACAGTTATTACTCCTGTGCTTCAGCCTGATTTTTGGGACGATGGGGGCGGGACCGGAGGTGTAATTGTCCTTGGAGTTGGCCGAGAGCAGTGCCAACAAACTTCTGTGAGCGCCATCTTTGCGAAGCCACGAACCAGCGCCAAGATTGTAAATAAACCACAGGAATGGATAGGGGAGAAGACGGTGGCCGAGACGAATCAAAAAACTGAAGCGAAAGAACGAGGGCAACCACGACCGTTAGGCGGGTGCGCGCTTCGAGTTTAGCCCCGCCCCAGCCGTACCCCCGGCGCGCGCTCCCTCATTCTCCCGCTCAGCAGGGACAGCGGTATTGTGTGCGCGTGCGCGCGAAATAACGGCCGCTGGCGGAGGGAGGTGGGGGTGAATTGTTCAAGGGAGGGGGAAGAGAAGCCACCCATCTCCCGCGCGCCCACCACCTGCGCCATCGTCAGCCAATCAGCAGCCGTCTCAGGGGTCTCGCGCTTGAGGCGACTCAGGCTGCTGGGTGGCTCCCCGGCCCTCCTCCCGCCAGTCCCTCCCGCACCTGCCCCCTCCCGCTAGCCTTGCGCGCGCTCGCGCTCGCGCCCGCTCCAGCCTCCACAGTGTCCTCGCGCCCCCCGCCCGCCCTCCCTTCCTCCCTCCCTCCCTCCCC